CATTTTTCCAGTGTGTAAGAAATTATATATGATTTTAATTTAAAAATAACAGTTTTGCACATCTACAGTAGTTTTATAGATTAGTTTAAATATTTTATCCCAGGGCAGTGAAAGTAGTCCTCCCATTTTCCATGTGTCATATGGGGCAACCTTCAGTGTTTTTATTCAATATATATATTTTTTAATTTATTTTAATTCCCTTTTGCCAATTAGTTTGTTGTTGGAGATTTACAACCTTTATTATTTAGTAGTTTCATTGTTAATTATTATTTTCCATTTTTTTTCCAATTACTCCAGTGAGTGTGTTAAAGGAAAAGTTTGAATAAGCATCACCATACATGGTTCTAAATTCCACTAGTTTAACTTTACTAACTTTTTTTTTTTTTGGTTTTGATTTAATTGATTGTTCTATTTCACTATTTTAATCTTGTAATAACATTAATTTCCTAAAGAATTCAAATTACTCTTAAGTTCTTTATTTATTTTTAATCAAGTCAAATATGCCATTTATTCCCTTATGACTCATTTAGAGTATCATGTTAAATGCTGATTTTTCACCCACGATTGCGTGTCAGAAATTCAAATGAGTAAATTTAAAGGTATTTTTTCACTATCTGTCTAGACCTAATGCAGTCTTTCTTTTTGATTTTCTTGTTTTAGATTCCCCTCTTTGGCATAATGTCCTCAGACTCTGCAGATCCATTCTACTGGATGAGAGTCATTCTGGCTTCAAATAGAGGTATCAGTCAAACATTTATTATGGGAGATAAAATATATGATTACAGTTCTGAACAATTGAGTTAACGCATGTCTATCCATCTAGGTACTCTGATGGAGCTGGGTATCTCGCCTATTGTCACCTCAGGCCTGATAATGCAGCTCCTGGCTGGAGCTAAGATCATTGAGGTTGGAGACACACCAAAGGACAGGGCTCTCTTTAATGGAGCTCAGAAATGTATGAAATACTCCTTGTTCTTCTCTTACACTTTAATTTCTAAGGTCTATTTCTGGGTTGTTTAATCCTTTACTTTTTCCAGTGTTTGGGATGATCATCACCATTGGCCAGTCCATTGTTTATGTGATGACGGGCATGTATGGAGATCCATCAGAGATGGGTGCAGGGATCTGTCTGCTCATCATCATTCAGGTAATAAAGTGTGTCTTTACTGATTGATGCATTTTAAAAGATGAATATGCACTATTAACAAGCTTTTATTTTGCACTAGCAATGGTGCTTTTGGATTAGAAAGGGAAAAACTATACGTGCAAAACCTGTACCTTTATGTTTTTTGTTGTCGTTTTTTTAACGCTTAACCACATATAGGGCTGAAACAATTTAATCAAGATTAATCAATTATTGAAATAACTCAATGTTTACTAATTTAGCAATCAATTAATCATTAATAGAGTGTTGAGACTCTAAAACCGGACTTAAGCTGAAAGTGAAGCAGAAATTTTACCAAAATTGCGTAAATAACAAATAAATATTTTATCTTTGAGATAAAATAAAATTTAAAAAAAAGTTTTCGTCCGACAATATGCTTTATCCAGAACTCCTCAAGTGGAAAAGTTTTAGTTTCACCTGGTTTTATTTTTTTAATAAGTCTTTTTTAAAGAACATTTTGGTATCTGATTATTAATTGATTAATCGAAAAAAATGATCAACACATTAATTGATTTGCAAAATAATCGTTACTTGCAGCCCTAGTCACATTAAAATCTGTTACTTCAGTGTATAGACAGTTTTGTAGAAATAAGGAATGTTAATCGTGATATATTTTTGCACGTACCCCTCTTTACTCAGATCCTCCTAAATATTACTAATTACTTTCATGGGGTTGGTCGCTATCGTATATTATGATATATTTCCTTAGTGAGACACAGAAATATGTGCTCACAATAAATATGATCCGTTTCAAGCAATATAAACGACATTGGACTGCAATATTATGCTAATAGATCTAAATTATAACAGATTTTTATTTTTCTGTAAATCCCTTAACAGTCTTGGCCATGTTACTCTCCAGTTAAAGTTAATAATTTAATAATAATTTGTTACTCTTTTACGCTCAAAGTAGCCATGAAGTAACTTATTAGGATCTAAAATGTTAATGAATATGGGTCATTTTCCTGTTATCACAATATTAAATTAACTAACTAAGAGATAAATTATCAAATCTAAAATCAACTATTCATGGGGGTTTAAAAAAGTAATTTATGGCCTAAAAATATTTTGATTAACAGTAATTCTCAGCAGACTCAGAGAGGCTAGTTAAGTGTGCAGATACATTAAACCAAACATAACACAATTTGACAATATTTTAAAGTTGTTTTAGTCACCATTCTTTATTGTGCAAATATTCCAGGAATGTAAAACTGACGACAGCCAAAATAATTTAAAAACACCTGTCTTTAGTATCGATACCATGCCATTTTAATATTACATTATACAGCATTTATTAAAGTATGTCTAAGTCTGATTTAAGTATTGATACTTTTCGAAGTACCGATATTTCTGACGACCCTGTTGCAAACTAATCTACACTGTTTTGGTGTGTGCTGTGGGATAGATGTGTCTAGAAACTCAATTGCAATATACCTTTCCAGATGTGATTATTAGTATTATTAAATTAGTATTCATGAGTTATTAATTTAGTATTAATAAATGAAATGTTCATAATAAACAAACAAAGCTAGATGATAAATACGATTTATAACTTAATATGTAAATATGTTCAGGGGCTTCAACTGTTTATGAAAAATATTGCTTTTCAAGCAATACTTGAATCTGCAGGGATCGCTGCATTCACCTTTCTTTTTTTACTCCGTCTGTATGAGCAATCATTGCATGCTGAGCCATTCAGTGTTCTGTATGCCTCTATCTCAGCTCTCTGTAGTAACACACCTTGTTAGATGACAAGCATAATACCAGTTTGTCAAAAGTAATAGGCTGGATTGTGTAATAAATTCAGATGTATGTTTCCGTTCTTGCTTTTTCTCGTGCCTACCTCTGCTAAACGATTTAGATGACAACAAATTTCACGACAATGTTTGGAAAAATGAAGATGGCATTGGATTTAAAGATAAATTAAATGACAACATAGTGGGAGTGTTTTGGAATGAAATCAAATGTCAATATTATCATTTAGTGCAACAATTTATAGGGCAATTTACCATCCAGCAAAATCTGTTCTCATCACAAGCCTATCAGAGATTAAGTATGAATGCTCTTTTTGGGGTGTTAGTGATGCCTTAAATAAACTTGCATACTTTAACTTAGATATGGCATGAATACATATTTTTCAATTCTCCAAATAATTGTTAATTGATTTCCAGCTGATGGGATTGGTTGTGTGACTTTGCAGCTGTTTGTAGCGGGGCTGATTGTGCTGCTCCTCGACGAATTGCTCCAGAAGGGCTATGGACTCGGTTCTGGGATCTCCCTATTTATTGCCACCAATATCTGTGAGACCATTGTCTGGAAGGCTTTTAGTCCCACCACTGTGAACACAGGCAGAGGTAAGTGACCATAGGCCACCCATCTGTTCTTTATAGTCCTGAGTTATTAAATCTGAACAGTTTGGCTGTTTTCAAAGTCATTTTTTTCTGTTTCTAACAAATTACTTTATGTGATTCAGGCACAGAATTTGAGGGAGCAGTCATTGCTCTTTTTCATCTGCTCGCCACAAGGACCGACAAAGTGCGTGCTCTAAGAGAGGCCTTCTACAGGCAGAACCTCCCCAACCTCATGAACCTCATTGCTACAGTGTTTGTCTTTGCTGTAGTCATATACTTTCAGGTAGGTTAGCATCTCTGTTTGACTCATTTTACATTAGAATAAGAACTTTGTCTAAAAGGAAAAAAAAAACAATCCAATCTTCTTACAGGGATTCAGAGTGGATCTGCCCATCAAATCGGCACGCTACCGTGGCCAATATAACACATACCCCATCAAGCTTTTCTACACCTCCAACATTCCCATCATCCTGCAGTCTGCTTTGGTATCCAACCTGTATGTTATCTCCCAGATGCTTTCCACACGCTTCAGTGGGAATTTCCTGGTGAATCTGCTGGGAACGTGGTCTGTAAGTATATGAGTATTTACTGTCATTAACCAAGTTTCCTCTGAAGCGCTGAACCTTACTTCTTAACTATTTCCCAAGTTTTAAATGTTACTCTAAATCACACAGTTATTAGTATTTTAAAGACTTTAGTTTGTTGTTGTTTTTTTCCTCCGGCACATAGAGTAATTGAAAAAGTAAGCAGTTTTTGTCTGTAATGTAAAGGTCTGAACAGTGATTAAAACACAAATTATTCATAAATCAATGAAAATGTTGGTTACCCAAATGCTCAAAGATGAAAGTTGAGAGAGAAATCCTGAAAGTTATTCTCTAAGTTTTGAATAACTAAAGAACTTTGGACTGTACAATTGTAAATTTAGTTAAAGAACATTTCTGCTTGCATTGGCTAGATTTTTTTTCTTTTCTCTTCTAAATCCATGGTCCTTCATGTCAGGTTTGTTTCCATACAGGGCAAGATTTAGCAACTGATTGTGGTTACTAAAAGTTCAGGATTTTCAGTACCATAGTGGTGACCCATTACTTACCTGAGTCTCTCCCGTTGGTTACTGCTGGAAAACTAACGAGCAGGATAGGTTTTCACCGTAAGAACGCATTGAACCTACCAACCTAATGCACGTCCTAAAGAAAGAAACATACTCATAGTTAAATACAGTTTGTATGTCTTACACAAAGCAGCACAAATGTGTGCCTAAATAGAAAAATCTGATGACTATGGCTGCATACTTGTGTTCACGCTCAGCTTGCTTGTATACGACTAGGGTGTTTAGAATAATAATCCAGCCATTGGACAATTTTAGTGGCATTATTTATTCTAGATGGATGAAATTTAATCAAGCCATTCCCAATAGCTCCACTGGTTCTACCTAATGTTTTTCTTATTTTATATTCTTGGGGTTTTTACTGATTTGTGGGGATACAATTCAAAGATAAATGTTTCTAAGATGTCTGCAAAACGATAAAGAGGATCAAGGGAATCTAGATAAAAAAAATGATTTATTCCTGGATGTTTGAATGTTTTTCTCTACCTGCTTGTGATTCTAGGACACGTCATCAGGTGGACCAGCCCGAGCCTATCCTGTTGGAGGACTGTGCTACTACCTCTCCCCACCGGAGTCTTTTGGTTCCGTTCTGGAGGACCCTGTCCATGCGCTCATCTACATCTTTTTCATGCTGGGCTCATGTGCCTTTTTCTCCAAAACTTGGATTGAAGTTTCAGGGTCTTCTGCTAAAGATGTAAGTCCTCGTTGCAGGTCTGAGGGGTGGGGGGTGCTTTGGTTTGTTTTTTTCAAAGAAACCCTGTGTTGAAGCTCTGATGTTTATCCCCATCTAGGTGGCAAAGCAGCTGAAGGAGCAGCAGATGGTGATGAGAGGACACAGGGAAACCTCAATGGTTCATGAACTAAACAGGTAAAGTTCTTCCATTCAAGATGGGACTGTCCTTAAAGCAAAACACTGTTATGGTGCCTTCAGACCGGACGCGGTGTCCACAGAATTCCTATACAAACTACGCAGGGAAGCGGACAGCGATGAATCCTGCGCGTTGAGGGCGTTCTCTGCTCCGCTCTCACCTCGTGCTACTAGATAGAGCTGAGATGTTTTCAAACAGCAGCTCCGCATTGAGAGAGAGGAGCGGAGATTTTTTTATTGGGGTGGGGTTTTAAATTGCAGGCAGCTGAGACTGCTCCTACATAAAGACGAGATCCAGGGTGTAAAGACTGCATCTGAACACACCCCAAGGAAATCACAGCGGACACTGCGCTCTGTCTGCAGCCACCATTAGAGCAGTTAGAGGCAGTAGCAGCGGCCTGTTGGGCTGTTTTGTTGATGGGGAAGTTTTGTGGGTAGAATGTTGATACTGTGGCTGAAATTCTTTCTTGAAAGGTGACCTTGACTCCACCTGTTCTGAATGTTTGTGGACCATCTCCAAAAATTTGCATCAGTGTCAGGAAAGCGTTTAAGTATCCAAATATTCTTCAGGAGGTTGCTGAGGACTAGAAAAAGTATGCAGTCTCTTCTCAGCTTGCTAAGAGGTGTTTGCCTAAATGATTGAATATTTTTAAAAGCTGAAGGTAAAGAGAAACCATTCTGTTAGTGAGCCACAGGGCAGCTGAGGCTACAGTGTAGCTTGCCAGCATCTGTCTGTGTGTGCGTGCATGAATGGGTAAATAATGTGTAAAGCGCTTTGTCAACTCCTCCGACTTGAAAAAGCAATATTTACATACAGGCCATTCACTATTATCTTTTTCCTTTCAGGTACATTCCAACTGCTGCTGCCTTTGGTGGACTTTGCATCGGAGGTTTATCTGTGATGGCTGACTTCCTCGGTGCCATCGGCTCTGGCACCGGCATCCTGCTGGCTGTCACAATCATCTATCAGTACTTTGAAATCTTTGTAAAAGAACAGAGTGAAGTAGGCAGCATGTCTGCCATGTTCTTCTAAAACAGTTGGGATCCTGCCATCTTCTGACAGCTTTTATTAGGCTCTTCTATGTTGCATTTTCTTTTTCTTTTTTTTTTTCTTTTACATCCATGAACTGTATTGCCTCGGCTGTTCAAAGACGTTTGAGGAACCTTCTGGAGTCTCTGCCGAAATGTGACGCTGTGGGGAAGTGAACTATTTTGTGACTTTCGCATCAGTTGCTTACTTTTGACAAATTCCAAAGATTTGAGCTGAACGTCATCAGTACTCCAGATTAAAACCAAGGTCTTCTGAATCTCTTATTTTATTTCCTGTATCCCCAGACTGAGGAGCGAGTGCTTCAGTATGCAGGCATACTTGATTAGGAGGGCGGCAGACAGCTGCATGTGCGCTTAGTGATGTCTTAAGTTAAACCTTTACTGTCAACTTAGTTATGTTTCTGTTAACTGCCTAATCAGGCCAAGGTGAGGACCAGAAGGTGGCTTGTCAAAAGCTGAGTCAAGTACTGCAAAACTTTCCTTTCTATAACCTATAGTTGGAGGAAGCTGAGGCCTGAGAGCTCATATTGGGTTCCAGTCTCATCCGGAGACCTTTGAACTCTCTTCCGGTAAGACCTGGCTTGTTTTAATGTATGGCATTTCCAGGGTTACGCAGTATTAACTCACACCTCTTATATTCCTGGTAGCCACTGCATCTGGGGATTTTTTTGTTTTTAAATGTTCCTTCTTACAGCTTTTTCAGACAAACTTGTGTTTCTGTACATAGACCATGCATTGAATACTGTTGAGTCTGTATGTGTATAAAAAATACTTTTGAATATGTAAAACAAAAAAACACAATCCATTTCAGAACAAACTTGTTTAGAAGAATCATTCTGAATTAAAGAGACTTTTGTGAAAAAAGTATTTTTCAGTTTCAGAAAGTTGTCCTGTGTATAATTGTGTATTAGCTTTTCTTGATGTAAGATTTAAAACCTTGAGAAGCTTTTGTGTTGAGAAGAGAGATCTGTCAAAGGGTTTTAGATATGTTTTAAAATTATGCCTGGGGAAAAAACTTGAACTTTCAATCAGATTTCAACAAGAAAGCTTTAAAAGCTTCTAAAATATCTGATTCAGTGATGTAACCTTAAGGGTGTAATTTCTAAAATGGATTACATTTTTTTCTTAAATAGTTTTTTGTATTTAGGTCCATTGCACAAGTAACTAATAGTCATCATTTATGGCATTTGATCTCGAGCTAAGTTTTGTGTTCATTTTTCCCCTTTTCCCTGTTTTCTTCCTCCTCTGGCTATTGTTTACCTTGCTGTCAACATCCACGTATACGGTAGTCTAATGTCTTTCAGGCGCCATAATTTTTTTTTTATTTAACACGATTTGGGCTTTTCTTGCTTTAACTTGCCATTAAAAGCAAAAAGACATCAAATTAAACATGAAATGGTCCAAGTTGGAAATTTAAGAAGTTAAAGATGTGTAGAAATATTTATTTTTTTTGGTAAGATTGGATATTTTTATCATTCTTAAACTTAAAATATGAAATAGCTGCCAGGAAAATATCAGTTATAATCCCATAGGCATAAAAAGTATTATCCACCCTCCTTTTGAGATCATATGTTGCTACAGTGAAAGTAAAGGCCTTATTTTCTGATAATAGTGAGCTTGGCCAAGGTACACTGGAACACTCCCTTGCCTTGAAACAGAATATGGGTAAGTGAAGATGTCTGATCCAAAGAGCACAGCATTAGGGGCCGCATGTTTTTGGCACTTGTTTCCTGGGCCATAATCATGAGTGGTGGCCTAGTGATTAGGGAATAGAGCTTGGAACCCTGAGGTTCTGAGTTTGAACCCCACTCCCACAGACTGTCACTATGGGTCTCTGAGTAAGACCCTTAACCCACACTGCTCCCTGGGCATCCCATGATGGCAGCCCACTGCGCCCCAAGGGGATGGGATAAAAGCAGAGGTACATTTCTCCAATGTGAGATTATTTAGTTGCATCCAAAGTTATCTCTGACTTGCTACTAAACCAAAAAATAAAGTTAGTTACTGAAAGTGCTGGCACAGGAACATCTATAAGATCCAATCTTTTCTTAAACCAATCAAAATCTACCAATTACCTTAAATGTAATGAGAGATTACATGATCTACATGGGCAAAATGAGCCTAAAAAAAGTGCACAAGGTTCTTTAAGAAGGCTTTTTTTCTTCATATTTCAACAATTATTAAAAAGAAACGAATCAGAGGGAAAGTGTTTTTTTGGAATACTTTCTCTTGACATTAAAATGAACATATATATATATATATATATATATATATATATATATATATATATATATATATATATTTTAAATCCTCCCTGGGCTGTTGGAAGTAGCAAACAAAAATGTTTTCAGTGAGTTATTTTTCATGATATTACAGAAATTAAAAGCTCTCAGTAAAATCAGACAGCTTTTAATAGCTTTGTAGACTGTTTGGGAAGGTGAAAATAGACATTTATACGTAGGCTTTTATTTTATTTTTATTTTTTATTCTCTCACATTTCGTGAACGGTAGGGGGCCGCAGTGGTTCCTGCAGCGAAAACTCTACCGGAAACTGGAAAAGAAGAAGATGATCCGATCATGCTTTAGTAAGGATAGTTGTGAAAGAGGAGCCTGGTTATGTAGTAAAACGTCCGTCCGGTTTGATGTTTTTTTGTCTTTTCTAACTAATGCAAATATCCCCGAATCTGTAAACTGCTAAAGTAAATTCAAAGGAAGTCTATAGCTTGTTTCAGCTGAAAGAAATGAACTCGGTCCGACAGGAAGGTGAGCATCCTGAGCTAACCGGCGGCTAACTTTTCCTGAATGCTAACACTAATGGTTTATTCAAGTGTGATTAAATTAACCCTGCGGCTCTTAGAATATATCCAAACTGATTTAAATAAATACTATTGAAGGCAGGAAACTGTTGATCAGTCAAGTACATTAGTAGATAATTGGATAACTGCTGCGATCATCCCAGAGTTTAACCTTGAGAACCAAAAGGTTGCATGTCACAACTAGGCTGTATAATCATTTATAATTAATCTTATTTAAGGTGTCCAGCTTTGTGTCTCATACTGGAGTTTATAACTAACACATTTAATTTTTAAATTAAGTTAATTAAATAAAAAAACTATAGTATAAATAGTAATTTTAAACCTATAGCATTCATATACAGTATTTGTGTAAATCAAGTCATATCAGCTGAAGCAAAATCCAGAAGAGTAGTGTAATTAATATTCTCTAGGTGGATTTCTGTGCAGAATTAATATATATTTATATATATATTAATGACTTGGACAAATTTATTTTGTCATTTTATATACACGAGTGTAAACAAAAAGAAAATTCAGTTAGAACAGCTCTAGACAATTTCATATTTTAAAGTGCAGCCTTGAAAACAGTAATAAATACATACAAAATAGTAATATTAACATATGACTGTATTTACAGTTCTAACATTTATTTATATATATATATATATATATATCTATATATAAATATATAGATATATATATCTTAATTGCCCCATTGCTGCTTTTTTTATCACTTTATTTCAGAATCAGACATACTTTAATAATCCCAGAGGGAAATTACTGATTATATTACATATTATTTTCCAAATATAGCAAGAAAAAATGTTTTGATTTTTCCAGCTTATCAATGAAGGAGTAGTGTGACATACTCTTTATGTATTGAGGTAAGGATTGTTAGGAAAAAGGACAAAACGAAGACATTTCCCCTCTTCAGTGTCAGTGTGCTAACTGTTGTGGACGAGGTTAGATATCTCATTAACATTATTAGGAGGGATTCTTGTGATGATATACAGTACTGTAAATTATATGGACAAGCAAACATGGTGACACATAAATTTCACATGCGTTCCTGTGATGTCAAAGTCACTGTTTAAAGCCTACTGTAATCCACTGAACGCTGCACATCTGTGGGCTATGGTAAAGCTAAAATGCTGAAGTTATGTACAATGATGGACTTTGTATTCTATTGAAGGCCCCGCGCTGGACTAGTGCCAGTCCACTGTTTGTGCAAAATAATGTACCCTCTTTAAACGCTGCGATCAGAAATCTTGTGTACAGATTTATAACGCCTTTGGAGGACTCAAAATGAGAAGTAATTGTCATTTAAGCCTCAAATACGAAGCATCAGCTACACCTCTTGTTATTGGAGACATTGGAGAGTGAACTACATGGATTGTAGTAAAACATTTTTTTTTCCTTTGTTTTATTTTTGACCAAACAGTCCGAAATAAAGGACTGATTTACTTTTGTGTTGGAAAAGACAAAAGTTAGCTAATGAAGCACAATCTATAGTCCAGTCTTAGGGCCAAGATTTTTCCTAAACGGTAAAAAAGATTAGTGTGCTATAAAAGGTTTTTAAAGCAAAAAAAAGAGGGGGAAATAAAAGTAAACAGAACAGCAATGGAAATAAATTGCTGCATAGCTGGGTTATTGATCACTCTGCTTTGGTTGATAATGTTGTTTTGTTAGTTTTTGTTTTTTTTCTCCCTTGAATCTAATAGCTTGACTTTATATGCAGTGATGTAAATATTTTATGTTGATGGTCCTGAATAAATTTGTCAAATTGCTGATTGTTTGTGTTTTTGATAGGGTTGGGCAATTGATTGCATTTGCAATACAATCACAATTCAACAAAAAAGCATTTTCCAAATCCAGTGGCACTGAATTCGAAATAGGTTACATTTAAAATGAGCTTATGTTATCTCTTGCATCTTTAAACAACAACATAATAACCAAAGCATGTTCCATGGAAGGCTTGGTGTGGTGTCTTGCTTACAGCTTGCCATCTTTTCTGTTTCACACATCAGGTAAAGACAAAATCATATTTGTCACCAAAGAGGATCATGAAACACCGAGCAGTGCAGAGCTCGTGGAAGAAGACCCGAATGATCCGTATGAGGAGCAAGGTGAGCCAGTCTCTGGCTGACTGTCCCTGAAATGAACCTTTATAATGTAGTGTCATAATCTAGACTTCCACTCTCCCTCTTTTAGGTCTGATTCTCCCAAGTGGAGAGATAAACTGGAACTGTCCCTGCCTGGGTGGGATGGCCAGTGGTCCCTGTGGGACTGAATTTAAGGAAGCCTTCTCCTGCTTTCATTATAGTAAGGAGGAGGTGAAAGGCTCTGACTGCCTGGAGCAGTTCAGGACCATGCAGGAGTGTTTGCAGCGCTACCCAGAGCTTTACCCAAAGGAGGATGATGCACCATCCAGCCAGACGTCTGAGGAATCGGCGTCTGCAGCGCCGTCGGACCCAGCGGCTGGCTCCGAGAAGGACTCTGATTCCACACATCCAAACACAGAGAGCTCAGCAGAGAGCTAATAGTCAGGCTTACTGTGGAGCTTCAGAGCTCGTTTAACATTCAGACGATTTTTCCCATCAATGTTCATTAGTTCATCAGAATTAAACTATATATACACCCCTCTGGAATTTAAAAGGGCTTTCTTTGTTGTTGGAATAGTGCACAGTTTCAAAGTTGTTAAACTGTCTTTGTATCAGACAAACTACTCATTCAACTGTTGCATTGGATGTGATGAAATAAGCTCTTAATGTTTTAATGGAAAACCAGTGATGGTTCTCATCAGTTCAACAATCATTTCTTTATAGTGATTTATCTACATCACTGAGGGCAGTTTCCATTCCGTTGTAGGTTTATCAGAACAACCTGATGTTTGGACTCCCATTGGTTCTTTAATGGGCCCCTTAGGTCTGATGAGTTAAACATCGACAGTGATTATCTTTAGTCAGGACCTTTAGTTGGGACCAAGCTTATATTCATTTTGGTTTACTTTTCTGTCCACTCTAATTTCCACATCATAGAACATTTCAGCAACACCTGGATTTGTTCCCTCCTTGTTATCATTATTAGTACTGCGTTACATACAAAGCTCAGAGCGTATTTTAATATTTTCCCAAACTGTGGCTGAAATCTCAGAGAAATGAAGAGTCAATGAGAATACTTGGGTCACTTTTCCACTGTGAGCTCTTCAGTGTTGTTTTCACTGTTACCTCTCAGGCTGCACTTATTTTTCTTTAATTTATAACCAGAGTTGAAATATTTACCTCATCTGAACCAAACGCAACTTTGTGTGTGCAGCAAAAGAACAATTGCAGTTTTGTAATAAAAGCTATTGGAACTTTTAATTATGTTTCTTTTTATTTAAAATATATTAATCCAAACTAACCAGTATAAATGACTTCTAACCATCCACCACTGTCAACATTTATTCATGGGATTGTATTAAATTTAAACTACACTTTTCTAGGTATAAAGCATGGCGGTGGCAGCATGATGTTAAGGACCTATTTTATTGCGACAGGCTGGTACTTTAATGGTTAATTCAAGACAGTAAAGATGTTAATGGTCTCTGGGTTGTTAGTAACCGGCCTTGTGTGGTCACACATGGTAAAAAACATGTCCAGATGTTCACATATTTCAAACAAAAAGCATTCATACATAGATAACACTACAACAGAAATCTGGAAATCCAAAATCCAAACTTTAATCTGAAAGTTTGTCCTAAAAGATGTAATCTTTCACAAGGCTACAACAGGTAACTTGGTCACCTTAAGAAACTAACAGGGAGATAATCCTGCATTCCAGTTTGTAAGCGCAACCAATGATAAATTCCTCAATTAGCGTCATTAATGATTTAAGAAAGATGACTATAGAAAGACTATAGGAGGCCCCTGAGGGCCGATGAAGGGGTTTAAAGAAGAATAACAGCTGTGACTCAGCAGAATGTGTGTGAAGATAGTTGAATGCTGATGGTAACAAAGGTTTTTGTTCTTCAACTATTTTTTGAGCTGATGGTCTCAACAGGAAAATGGTACCAAAAACCATCAAATCTGATTAAATGGGTCGAGCTAGGGAGCATTAAACTGTTGATATGGCCCAGAGTGGAAGTATGTTGAAAGGTAATATCAATGCAGATTGGTGCTTAGTTACCGGTATAAAAAGAAAAATGGCTGACTGTCTGGGGCGGCATGAACTGCAGAGGGTCAGATGACTTTGGGCATAATATTCACGCTTGCTGCTAAATATGTAGCGCATTTAATTCTCTCTAATTAAAAGATTTAACAATTCAATCTGATAGAATCAATTAAATGGTATTTTGAACCAACAAGAAGTGAACTTCTCACCAAAATTTTAAGTTTCGATGGCTGGCATTTTTAGCTTTCTAAGTTAACAAAATTTTACATACTTTGTGTTATGTATTCTTTACACGCCTTTTTAATTAATCAGTCCACCTTCTCCTGGGTTGTTCCATCAGGGTCATGGGGGGGCCGGTGCATATCTCTGGGAGTCTATGGGCAAGAGGAGGAGTACACCCTGGACAGGTCTTCTGTCTCTCACAGGGCAACACAAAGACACACAAACATGCACACACACGCTCATACCTAAGGACTTTTTTTAGAGATGCCAATTAACCTATCAGTCATCTTTTTAGACTGTGGGAGAAAGCTGGAGTGCCCGGAGAGAACCCATGTGTAGAACATACAAAATCCATGCAGAAAGACCTCAGGACAGAAATCAAACCTGGAGCCTTCTTGAACCACGCAACAATTTTTACCCTTTTTAATAAATATCTGGAAAATAAGATGGTAAAGAGTTTATTATAGTTCTGAAACTGTAAATATCAAGGAACAACCCAGATGATTAGGATCAGGTTCTTCCACTCAATGTCTCAAATATTGTTATATGACAAAGCGTCAGAGGTCAGTGTCCGTGTTTGTCGGCTCAGTCATGCGCTACTTTAAACTATTTGAGAAATCAATAATCATCAAACATCCCTGTGGAGCTCCTGTGTTTTTATTGGTGGATTCTTTCTGGGCAAAGGTAAGCTAAAAACCAATGGGACAGAAAGGAGATGAGGGTCTGGCCCTTATTGTTCACAAGGACACAGACTTTCTCTGAATAAGTGAGTGTCTGCTGCTGCATCATTTGGAACTGTCCCTTGGTCTCAGAAGAAAACGTGCAAAAGACGAATCGGCAGCATGTCAGATTTAAAGGAGATTTGCAGCGGGTTACCCCTGAATCCTTTACCCCCAAACCGGGGGAGAGATCCAAATGTGCCCCATGCTCCTGTCCGGACCCCCAACCTCACAGCTGAGGAGGAACGAGTAAGTATATTCTAACATTAGTTCTTTCAGAGACCCATTTTGTTCTTATTTAACACTGTATGCATTTCTGGATTGTTTCTATTGCTGTTGCAAACAACTTATGCATCAAGGACTGAGAACTGCAATATACCCATTTAAAATCTAAAAAGTAACTATATCTATGGATGTTATTAATGTCTGAATGTTGAAACTGTTTTTAGATCCAAAGTTTCCAGAAATGGCAGAGTTGAAATCATATTTTACAGTCTCCTCTGCCTCATTGCATCATTCACTATTGGGTTGAACTGAAAACTGATTATTCTCAAAGGCCCTTAAATGATTACACAAACTCAGAGCAAAGCGCTCAGTCAATAATTAAGAGACACAAGCATGGAGAGCTCACCTCTTGCATAAGAAATCACTAACCCACAGTAAATGATTTTACTCTCCTCCAGCTGGCGCTGAGAAATGCTCTGCGCTACTTCCCACCATCCCACCATGCTATACTCGCATCTGAATTTGCTCAAGAGCTGCGGCAGTACGGCCACATATACATGTACCGCTTCTGCCCTGCAATCCGGATGAGGTAAGATGACCTGATGGAAACCTTATGATTTTCAAGTGGCAAAGAATTATGATTCTCAGATGGAAAGAACAAATGTTATTTAACCATCTGAATTTTTCATAAAATATAATAGAAAAAGTAAATGGATATAATTAGGTCTGTGAAGAAATGCTACGTTTGGGTTCTACCCACTGTTTCCTCCTTATGCAACCATACCTTGGAAAAGTATTGATGTTGTTTACACTCTGCAGAACACTACAAATCTTAATGTTTTTGTTTTTTCTTGCAATAATATGACATATAGACCAAAACAAATGGAATGAAACCTTCACTTTACAAACTGTTAAATGTATGTTCTTACTATGACCCTCATCAATAAAATCAAAGAGGAATTGCCTTGTTTTTTTTTTTTGGTATATCACATAGAATTCCAATAAAATATTCTAATTATTATTATATATTATATTTTGTATATATTACAAAATGGTGAAGAAAATGAAGGTGTATTAATATTTAGTAAAGCGGTCTTTATACACATATTCTGCTCTTATGTATGGCTTCTAGAAATTAGGTTGATTTTTATTTCAGCTTAGGCTTTGGGAAGTTACTCACCAGTATCTTAAATATCTTAAATATAGCTAATTTCTTTAACCACAGTGATGTAGCTAACACTCTTCTATTCCACAGAGCTTATCCTATAGATCAGTATCCCTGCCGCACAAGACAAGCAGCAGCTATGATGCTAATGATCATGAACAACCTGGACCCAGCTGTGGCTCAGGTGAGCTTTTAATACACAGTTATTTAAACCTGGTCTGATTTAATGTCACTGGCAGGGTCGCCAATGTCTAAATCTCCAGCTCTTTTGTTCTGTATATTTTTGTTGCCTACCTTCCCCAATGCATTTAAATGAATGTAAGAAGTATTATAAGGCCTCTGTAGAGATGATTGACATGGACTCTGGTGTGTGGGAGCAGAGCTGCCCAGGACTAGACATAGGAAGCCATGACACAAAATAAAATAAAAAATCTTTCTACTTTTTACAGTTTCCCCAGGAGCTTGTCACCTATGGAGGAAACGGACAGGTGTTTAGTAACTGGGCCCAGGTGCGTTCTGAATAAACCCCAAAATACCTCAGTTTATATAGTAACCGGTCGTAAACAGCTGAAGGATAATTCTTTGTATTTGATCCTATGAGTTCAGTTTCGCCTTGTGATGCACTACCTGAGTGAGATGACTGAGGAGCAAACTCTGGTCATGTACAGCGGACACCCCATGGGCTTGTTCCCCAGCCTGCCCTCCTCACCTCGCGCTATCATCACTAATGGCATGGTACTGGCAGGACACACAGCATGTACTAATGAAGATCCAAAATACAGAATCATGTTTGGTTTGTTTTCTCAGGTTATTCCAAATTATTCCTCCAGAGAACAATATGAGAAGATGTTTGCTCTTGGAGTCTCAATGTAAGTGTTATCTAAGCTGTCATGAAAAACAAGAGAGGACAGTGGCAGGTTTACATACTCTCACTACAACCAGGAATTTTATATTATTTTTTAGACCTTTAGTTCTCCAGTTTGTCTGCTCTATTTCCTTGGGACAAATTATAATTTTGCAAAAAAATAATACATTATTTGTGTATAGGTTTAAAAGGTTAATGTTAGCTTGCTACATCCTACAAAAAAAAAAAAAAAAAAAAAATCTGCTTTGACCTGGTTTTTGGGATCTTGTTCCTGTTGAAACATCCAAATGTGCAGGTTGCAGGTATTTTATCTTACCTGCACTATATTGCCAAAATATTTTTTTTCTGACTACTTTATTTTTGGAATAATTGAAATGAGGAGTTTTAATACCTAATTTCCACACCGGGGTATAAAGTCAAGATAAGAGGCATTCAGACACTTTCTACAAACATCTTTTGAAAATTCTGTCACTCAAAGGAGGTATCACAGCCTAGTACTGTGATAGGATGCAACCTGAACAACATGTCCAGTGGAGAAATTTCTTCCCTCCTAACTCTCAAAGGTATTATAAGAACATTGAAGTTATTGGGAACAACAGCAACCCAGTCTCAAAGTGGCCATGCAGATGGACAGAGCAGACACTCAGAGTGTGCAGAGATCTCCATGTTTCTGCACAGTCACTTGCTACAGAGCTCCAGACTCCATGTGGCCTTCACATACATCACCAGGTGCAATGCAAAGCAATGTATGCTGTGGTGTAAAGCATGCCAATTACTGGACTCTAGAGCAGTGGAATAACATTTTTAGGGTCAAGAATTTCACTTCTTCATCTGGCAATCTAGACTAGACTGTATAGCATTCTGACCTGTCCTATAGAGCATCCTTGGAATGAATTAGAGCAGTGAACGAGACTCAGGCTTTCTTTTCTAACATCAGTCTATGACCTCACAAATCCATTTCTGGAAAAAGGAAAAAAAAAATACTACAAAAAACCTTTCTTAAGCATGTGGACAGCCTTCTAAGAAGAGTTGGAAGCTGTTATAGCTACAAGGGGTGGACCAATGTCATATTGGAGAAAAAGGGTCAGAATGTTAGAGTTTTCATTCTAAATGGGATAATATCTGAAAAGCAGCGTCACCCGTGCCAGAACAGGGCTTTTATTTAAAGACATAGTGGATGTTCTTTTTCTTGGTGGATCATCAAAATCAGTGGTCCTCCTAATTGTAAATCATTCTGGTGATATGTTTGGGTAAGGCTGTCCTACGTGCCCGTCCCCATTTTCACTTACCCATGGGGAGTCTGACATAGTGGAAAAACTGAAAATCTTCTTTTGGAAAGTAAGCTTGTATGAGCGACGCAAACAGCAACTTTTAAACAGAGAGGGCACAAGGAGAAATGGGCTTGTGCCTGCTCTTGCACACGTTTAATAGGCATTCCCTCTCAGGTGCACGTACAGGGTTGTGCTTGTACATTTGGTTTTTGAAGTGGAGAGGGCGGGTCTTGTCACAAATTCGCGGAAATCCTCCACCATACCTTTAAAGGCCAAACCCTAGGGCTAACCCATTCCCCAGACATCTCTCCAATGTGTTGCCCTTATTATTACTGACGTTTAATCCCGGCAGCATGAAACATGGCCTTGTTGGAAAACCTGACTCGGATGTGTGTTGTGTTGCTCCATTGTGCAAGGAAAGAAAAATGTGTGCATGCAAAACATTGACTTGGATCACAGCGTTCATCAGCTATGGGTTGTCTTGTCCCTGTACAAACAGCTGTGCAATATCCGCCTTCTTGCTCTATTCTGAGTGTTGGTGAACAGAATAGGACCATCTTCTCTGGTTCTAGAGCGATCTATAAATACATATTAAGATATGACAGAAACACGTCAAAAGGGAAAATACTGAGATACATAAATGCAATAGAAATTTATTTAAACTATGGTTTTATCAGTTTTTAAGTAACATTTGGAATATTCTTGCAAAAAATGTATTAGACTACTTTTTATCTTTTTTTTTGAGAATTTTCATTTAAGGTACATGAAGAATAAGATGTTGAACATTTTTTCCACCACTGTGTCTGCCTTTCTCTTCATTATTTGTCCCAGCACAAAATAATACAGCCTGATATCTGTCAAGATTTTTCACAGCTTCTTAAGCTTCCTCTCAAATTTTTGCAATAAACAAGCATTATGTATTATGTATTATGCAAAGTATTATGTAGGTCAGTCATCACTAAGTAATTTGACTATCATTTAGGCTTTCACAAAAGGCAGCCTGATACATGAACATTTTTTTAGAATCCCTAACTGTAGGGGAGGGGTGGCCTTTTGGTTAGGGCTTAGAGCCAAGGCAGCAACATAATAAACATTTTATTATTTGCCATTTGATCTTATTGAGCATCTTTCAACAATATGTGTTGATTTTTCAGTTGCCTGATGCCTGTAGCTTCAAATCCTAGCTCCGGTTGCTGTCAGACTAAAGAACACCACAAATGAAATAAACCACTCAACTACAATAAAATTTTAAGAATTATGTGGTTTAGTCATTCCTATGTAATTGAACACCTGACAGATCACCTGCAGCATCAGTCTGCGGGGCTGCTCTGCTGCAAGCAGTACTGGGGAACTGCACAAAGTTGGTAGAAGGAAGGAGGAGGATTGCCTCCAACTCAAATCAACAGCTGGATGGTATAGATAAGCCCCAAGTAAAAAAAAATTTGAAGTTAGGGAGGTATGTTGGAAAGATGCAATCATTAAGCTTTAAGCTACAGACCTGTGATATGCAACATGTTCCCTGGACTCTGATATTCATCATGGAGGTTATCTGCTGTTTTGATAGAGAACTCCACCTGCCATTGAACATAAATGCTGATCCACTGTAAATCTGCAGGGGGTGGATCCTGGGAGGTGATACCTCTCTATGACAAAGGAAAGGGGGTGTTTGCTAGGAGGGGAGTGAAGCAAAGGGATAGATTTCTTTGTGTTACTTAATATTGCGAATATTGAAGTCTCATCTGCAGAGGGCCGACATTATGGTTCTAGAATTCCCCAGATCTCAGTCAACATAAAATACAATGAATTGTTGTAGAAGAGTGGGTTAACATCACAAAATCCTCCAATGTGGATTAGCTCTTACATTTTTCAAAAGAAGAGTGATCAGTTATACAGCAAAACAATACATGAGGCTATTCAATGGCATTATAACATTTGTTGCCGAATCAGTCCAAGTTAAAGAAAATAATAGTTTAAATGAATCTAGAAGAGCCAAACATGAATATGACATTCTTGCTGTCTTTGAACATTTTCCCCAGCTCAGCATTTATCTAATGTTACAAATGAGTGATATAATTTGCATCCTGTTGTTGTTTACCTACAGGTACGGCCAAATGACAGCAGGCAGCTACTGTTACATTGGTCCACAAGGGATTGTTCATGGAACTATGGTATGTAAAAATCAAATTCATCTTCTCCTTCACATCAGACCACACTGTACCACACTATTATAGCTAATGTATAATGAAAAGAATATAATTATTTTTATTTATCTCTGTGCAGCTGACTGTACTGAATGCTGGGCGGAGGTATCTGGGCAGCGATGATTTGAGGGGCCGCGTCTTTGTGACTTCAGGCCTTGGGGGAATGAGCGGTGCCCAGGCAAAAGCTGCTGTCATTGCCGGCTGTGTTGGTGTCATTGCAGAGGTCAGTTTGTTTCTGTTTAAATGCTCAATACTGAGTGAAAGCAAAAATGGAGAGAAGTCTTTGGGATTTGTCTGTAGGTGGATGAAGCTCCACTGAGGAAGAGACATGAGCAGGGTTGGGTTATGGAGGTGACCAGCAACTTGGAGCAATGCATCAAACGCATCAGGTAACACAACACAATACAGCATTTTTAGATAATTCCTCAGAATAAGTCCGTCAATGAGTGAAAATTTTGATAAGACTGAGATGGAACTTAAATGTTTGGTAATGAGGCTTAAATGAAACAGCTGAGCAGTGGTCCTTGTGTGAATGATGAGCCCTTCTTCTATTTACCCCAAACAATCAAATGCTTAAAATGATCTTCCTCTAAAACACAAAGAACCTAGAGTAGTTTTCCTGCTCTTTTTTTTTTTTTTAAACAGTGTCCTGTCTGGCAATGTGGCAATAAGAATAATTGTCTTGATGCCAAAAAGAGCCCAACAGATTTTACTTTCACAAGTGGAGCAGTAGGGCTATTGCCATAGTGTCCCGCTTGTTTCATGCATATAAATTGCTTTATTCTAATTATGCAGGGAGTTTTACAGATTGTATGGACACTGCAATGTAAGTAGAAAAGAAGAGGAAAACATAAAAAAGGAGAAAAGATGAAAGAAAGAGGAGATAAAAGGGAGACAATGATAAAACATTTTCAGTCTGCTTCATCACCTGCAAACAGATGTAAAAAGAACCTGCTCTTAGGAGCAAGAAGGGGGCATCATAACTCCTTTAACTCCACCTGCAGAAAAGCAGTAGGAAAAGACACAGATTATTTTCTGAAACCAGAATGTGTGTGACAAGACCTTAAATGACAGTGGTATCAACAGAATATGGCAAGACCGTTATAAGCCTAAATAAACTGCCAGGAAATGCTGAAAACGCAGAGCTGAAAAAGTGTGTGTGTGTGTGAAAAACACCAATAAATTAATGTAAAACATGTGGAAGGAAAGCCAATATAAGCTTAAAGAAAACAATTAAACTACAAAATAAGTAAATAGATGTACATTTCAGCATATTGAGTGTAAAAAAATAGCTGAACATTCCTCTACCAGCTATTCTTCTATGTGTGATAGTGATAGAAACATTGTTTTGACACTGATGTTTATTGCAGACTAAAGAACAAGTGAATAAAGAGGGCAAACAATCATGAAACTCAAACAACATAGGAAGTGGGTAAAAAATCAGCTCCAGAAGCTAGACCTCAGCCCAGCACTCTGTTTAAGACAGACAAACCAACGCTATGCATGTACATTTATGTATTTTGGGAATGTTGAATAAAACGTCTTGATATGGACTGTAGAAGTTTGAAGAAGCATTAACAACACAACCCAACACAGTCAGCACAGGGGTGACTATTTGTTAACTATAGACTGAAAACTAAATACATTCATATGGAAATCCTACTGGAGTGAGATTTGAAACGTGTGTAGCTTGCACAATAATATTTATTACGTTCTAAAAATATTTCCTAAATTTCTGCTGTTGTCTAACAGAGAAGCCAGGAGCTCCAAGACCCCCCTTAGTTTGGGATACCACGGCAATATTGTAGACTTGTGGTGAGTTAGTAGTGAAAACCCGTCCTTAGACATAGTCTGGGTTTGTATTAAAAGCAAAATAACTTTAGCTTCTAGCTTTTATGATTTTAATCAGGGAGAGGCTGTTGCTTGAGTTTGAAAGAACAGGAGAACTTCTGGTGGATCTGGGTTCAGACCAGACTTCGCTGCACAATCCCTACAACGGGGGTTACTACCCTGTCCCACTCAGCTTCCGCCAGGCAAACCAGCTCATGTCCACAGATCCTGGACGATTCAGAAGCGCCGTCCAAGAGAGGTTAGGTTCATGCCCAACCTGAATGTGTGTAAATTTTAATGGCTGATGTTGTGTACTACAATATAAACTATGCCATTACAGTCTCAGGAGACACATAAAAGCCATCAACAAGTTATCAGATGCAGGTATGTTCTTCTGGGATTATGGCAATGCATTCCTCCTTGAGGCCCAAAGAGCAGGTGAGCTATTAATGAAAGATCACACATATAATATCAGAAAGAGTCAGTGAGGATTTAAGTAATAAACAGAAACCTGTTTTTGGCTTTATCAAGGTGCGGACGTCGCCAAAGTTGGCGGAGGAGCAACGGAGTTCCGTTATCCGTCTTATGTCCAACATATAATGGGGTGAGTTTATCCAGTAAACTGTTGGTCCAGTAACACTAGCAAAACTTAGTCAAGCAGCACCTACGTTATGTTTGCTAGATTATTGAAATATGAATTCAAATCTGGGGGGGAAAAAATGTGAACTGATGTGTCCAACAGCTCTCAAAGTTTTGATGTTTTTGCTGCAGGGACATTTTTTCATTGGGGTTTGGGCCTTTCCGCTGGGTTTGTACATCGGGTGATCCTCAAGACCTGGCCGCGACTGATGACATTGCTGCTAAGGTTCTAGAGGAAATCTCTGGCAATGTGTCAGAGCGTGTGCGGCAGCAGTACAGAGACAACATCCACTGGATCAGAAAAGCTGGAAAACACAAAATGGTTAATTTGAGGAGATCTCTAAGAACAGATTAAGCATATTAAAAATATCTCTGTGTGATGATATTTGATGTATGTATACTTCTTGTGTAGGTAGTTGGATCTCAAGCTAGGATCCTCTATTCAGACCAGAAAGGAAGAGTGTGCATTGCTTTAGCCATAAACCAGGCCGTTGCGGAGGGAAGAGTCTCAGTAAGAGGATGGATACAGCTTCAGCCTGCATGAAAACGGACGGACACGTAAATCTTTGATTTATTTTGCTGTTCCCTTTCCTCAGGCACCAGTGGTGATCAGCAGAGACCACCATGATGTGAGCGGCACAGACAGTCCCTTCAGAGAGACCTCTAATGTGTATGATGGTTCTGCATTCTGTGCAGGTCTGTGTTTTGTGCCAAAATAATTCATATTCAGAACTTTCTTGGGTACCAAGGATTGTGTCCACGCCCATTTCATGAGTTTATATTTTTTAGTCATTCTGTTGAAGTCTGATTGAAAATCAATGTCTGACTTTGATTGATTCATTTTCATAGGACTTTTATTTAAAATAACTTTTGTCAGAATGTGTTGTTTCTGTGACCATTATTTTTTTTCTTTCATTAAACAAGGGGTACCATTAATTTTATCCATGTGTTTACCTGTGGTCAAGGTGTGAAAAGTGTTAAACATATATCCATTATAAATAAATCTTCATTGTAGAAGAAAGAAACAAGATTCAGTTCACAGAAAAAAAACAGGTTTGAATGTTGAAAGTGTTGAAAATCTGCTGCTCAACTAAAGATGAAGGTGAATTTCCCCATAAAGTTCGGACCTTTTGCAAATAATTTATCTTCTGATAATGTAAGTTTCAGAAATCAGGCTCAGGATGTTTTAAAAAGAAACTTTTCCTTTATTGTAGAAACACTATTTAAACAATAACGTTTTGTTTGGTTGCCAATATAATTGCCCTAATGTTTAAATAAGTTGTAAGCTCATTAAAAAGAGCCCTGTTTCCTTTTCCATAGATATGGCCGTGCAGAACTTTGTAGGTGATGCCTTCAGGGGTGCCACATGGGTGTCTCTGCATAATGGTGGTGGTGTTGGCTGGTGAGGGTGAAAGAGGCTGCAGTAAACAGTAATCTGGCTTTTTCAGCGTGAATCACTGTGTATTTACGTCTGTATCTCACCATCAGGGGCGAGGTGATAAATGGAGGATTTGGTTTGCTGCTGGACGGCTCAGACGAGGCAGCTAAGCGTGCAAGGCTGATGCTCAACTGGGACGTCTCTAACGGGGTGAGGGTGCAGGCAGAGCAGCAGCTTGATGCAGTTTTGGCTCATTCCTCAGGGTGAATGTGATCTGTGTGCTTCTGCTTGCTCTAGGTGGCCCGTCGCTGCTGGTCTGGAAACACAAATGCCTATGAGACAATCCAAAGCACCATGGAGGAGAACAGGCAGCTGCGCGTCACCATGCCCTTTCAAGTTCAGGATGAGCATGTGCTGGATCGAGCCTTACAGGGATAACTAACACTTTGATGGTTGGACTTAATTACATCCAAAGAGCAGAGGAAACAAGCAGCTGCCTTTATTTCAGGGCATTTATCTAAATAAGGCTTTATTCACCCGATGAAGAGAAATTTCCCACAAAGTTAAATTCAAACTCTGAAAGTGTTTTACAGAGTAACTCGCTTTAAACCTGCAAAATCTTTCATAATCCATCAGTGTTAAAGATGATGGTTGACTAACATGGATGTTGTAAAATTCAACTCTAGATGGTTGGGCCATCCAGCCAGCTGTTAGGAAAAAGAATATTTTTGAAAAAGGTATAAATACTTAATCGCATTTGATCACACACATTATCTGTGCTTAGAATAAATATAAAATGCAACTATTAAATAAAAGTTGAACATTTAAAGTGATTGTTCTGTGTCATGATTATGTCATAGGTGCCAACTCAAATTATTAAATTATTTTTGGTGAATCCTAAAGAAGACAAAATGTTTTTCTGCCTTCTAAAGCCGAAACAGTTTTCAAAAAAATGTTTCTGTAGGAAACCAAAGAGAGAATAAGAATGAATACCTGATATTCTCATCTCAATTAGATGAAAAGCTGAAACCAAGAGTCTTCATAAAGTTATTAGGAGTTTCTTTCATCAGCTGGGGAATTGTGGCTGAGCCTGGTGGAGTAAAAAGCTTTCTCCTCTTTCAATAAAAACTGACTTAAGATGCTTTATCAAAGAATCAGGCTAGATTTTACCCACGGAGGCTTATAAAGATTAAACATTATTTCCAAAAATGATCAGAAAATATTTTTGGTTAAGCAGGCAGACACTGTAAAGTACTAAATGCTCTAAAACTGCTTCACAGGCTTTCTGCTTAATTTTTGGTTTGCTCTTTTAAATTCCTCTACAGTTGACCATTTTTTGCGCACATTTAAAGGAGAAGTTCGGTTTTTTACACTTTAAGCCCATT